AAGATAGCGAGCGGCTGCTGGTGCGGCTTGAGCTCCTCGGGTTGCGGCGTGAAGAGGGACACCTGCCCGCAGCTCGGGCAGGTGTGAAGAGGGAGGTGTGAAGAGACGCCGCGCACCTCGGGCTGCGGCGTGAAGTCGGCATAGGAGATAGTAGCATAGCAGCGTATGGGCTCACTAGCTAGATGGAGCTCGCACTAGAGGCCCTCCTCGCATTCGCCTTCCTGGGGCCCAGCGCTGGCTTCGGACTGCCGCCGCTGCTCTCTCCCTTCTCGACGGCCTGTGTATTGTGTGCGTCTTGGGCCCCGGGGCTGTGCCTTTGCGTGAAGTAGGCACGTTGACGTGACTGTCTCTGTGCGATGCCGGGGCCCTGGGTGGTGCGTCTATGTGAAGTCTGTGCACGACCTTGTGGTCGACGCCGGACGCAAAGACGTGCGACCCGTCTCCAGTGGCGGCGAGGGCGAGCACGTCGGCCTACAGACACTTCCTGGACACTTCGTGGACACCTCCGAGACTCTTCCGCGAAGGGCGAGCACGTCGGCCTACAGACACTTCCTGGACACTTCGTGGACACCTCCGAGACTCTTCCGCGAAAGCGAGCACGTGTCGGCCTCGTGCGAGCGGAAGCGGTTGACGAGGGTGCCGTGCCTGCGTGGGGGAGGGAGGTGTCTAGGAGGTGTCTGGGAGGTGTCTAGGAGGCGTCTAGGAGGTGTCTAGGAGGTGTCTAGGAGGCGTCTAGGAAGAGTCCAGGAAGAGTCCAGGAAGTGTCCAGGAGGTGTCCAGGAGGTGTCTAGGTGGCCGTGCCTTGACGTGCAGACACGCGGTGGTAGACAGAGACGTGGACAGCCGTGCGAGTGCCGTGACTCTGTGTGTCGCCCCGTTTGATGCGGCCGTCCTCTCCCCCGCCGCCGGCGGCCTCTCCAGTCACAAGTCGCGGCGCTGGCCGTGAGCGTCGCCTCTCTGTCTACCCATCTACCGCCCCGCGCCGGCCGTCGTAGAAGCAGACGCGGCCCGACGAGTCGGCGGTCACCACGAGCGAGTCGGGCAGCAGCAGCACGTCCCACACCAGAGGAGGCCGCTTCCGCCCCTCCGACTCCAGCACAAACTGGCAGGTGTGTCTCCAGGTGTGTCTCGCGGCGCCGCCGCCGCCGAGCGCCCACAGCCGGACCGAGCCGTCCGCTCCTCCGGCGACGAGCTGGCCGCCCGAGGAGGAGAAGGCGAGGGAGAGGACCCGCCCGCCACGCGCAGGCAGCCGGTACACGTTCTCGAGCCCCTCCTCCACCACCCCAAACACCGTGACGCCGCCGTCCTCGCAGCCCGCCGCGAGCCGCGCAGAGCCGGCGTGCAGCGCGAGCGACCAGGCGGCGCCGCCGAGCGAGTCGTAGTTGTCGAGCGGCGAGAGACGCGCGAGGTCCCACTCCGTGACGACGCCGTGCAGCCCGCACGAGAAGAGGCGGCCGTCCGGGTGCGACGCGGTTCGGCTCCCGAGGGCGAGTCGGCGGACGGGCGTGTCGGGAACGCCCGGCACGTACGCCTCTCGGAACCAGCCGCCCTCGCTGAGCGACCACAGCTCGATGTCCGAGTTGGCGCGCAGCACCGCGAGGCGCGAGCACGAGGGGTCGTACTGGAGGGACTCGACCGGATCGGGCACCTGGTCAACGAAACGGCAGCGGTGCACGAGCACCGACGAGGTCGCGGCGCCCTTCGCCGCGGCCGAGGTCGACGACGCCGTCGCAGCGGGCTGCCGCGAGGCGCCGCGGGCTCGCTTCGCAGGCATGGAGCCGACGGCGGAGACAAGGCCGGGCTGTATGATTTATTGCGCGGCGAGGATCGTGGACATCGCGCAAAAAAAAAAGACCAAGCAGCGCCCCGGCCCTGGATGTGAGGTTGATGACTGCACTCCAAGTGCTCCAAGTGCAAAGCGCCAACCCTCGGAGAGTATTCTCGTAGTACTAGCTCCGAGTAGAGGGCAGCGTCCTGCAGTTAAGGGGAAACCTGGTACGCGGGGCCAACCCTCGGAGAGTATTCTTTAGCTCCGAGTAGAGGGGGCGTTCCGCAGCTAGGGGGACCCACAGCGCGAGGGAAAAATTCCGCCGCTGGGGGAACCCGGAGCGCAGAGCCAACCCACAACCCTCGGAGACCCGTGTTATGGCCCTGCGACTGCGCACCCCCCCACGGTCGAGGAAGAGGGTGCGTTCTGCAGTTAAGGGGTAACCCGGTACACGGAACCATCCCTCGGAGACGTGTTATGGCCCTGCGACCGCGCACCCCCGGGGCTAGGGCTCTCTTGCCCGCAACCCAACACCGAGCGTCCGGCCAACTGGGTGCGCTTCTCAGCTCCCCGGTCCTGGGCGTGAGGTTACTGACCGCACTCCAAGTGCTCCAAGTGCCAGCAGAAGTCCAGCAATGGTTGTGTCCCCTCTCGCGTTGCTCGCTCGCCCGTGCGGAGGGCATGGCCGCGGAGGAGGCGAGTACGCGCTGCCAGGCCTTCCACAGACAGCCTCTTGGGCAGACTGAGGGTCGGCTTTGCGTGGCGTAGCCCGTGCGCTGCGCTGCGCAAAGCTGCGTGTGCTGAAGGTGCATCTGGTGCTTCCTTTCGGAAGTGCGCACCTCCTGCAGCTGGTGGAAGGCCGTGCCGCCGCTCGCCTGCTCCGTGGACAGGGCGGGGAGGCGGCACCGCAGCGCCGCAGCGTCCGCTGCACGCCGGTGCAGCACTCTGCTGCCTGGCGGGCAGCATGCTGGTGCTGTGCGCGGTGTTTGCGAGGCGGCTTTGGCGCTGTACTGCCTGCCGCGGCGAGTGGCGCGAGGCACGCGAGGCGCCGCGCGTGGCCCGGACGGCGCCAGAGAGCGCGCTCGATGAGCCAGCCGGCGCGGCGCGAGCGCCGTGCAAGCTGGCACATCGTCTGCATGCTGCCGTCAATTCTCTGGTCGACGGCGGTCAATCTCACGATTGTCGATCAAAACCGGCGGGCTTTGTGACGCCGTTTACGCAATCGTTTTTTTTGAGAGCGCCTTCGTTGTTAATAATACAAGCCCAAGGTCCCTGGTAGCAGCCATCACTCGCACACACACGCCACACCGCACCGCCCCCCCAGCCCCCGCCCCGCCGAGGTGGGAAAGAGACGAGGAGATGGAACAGCCCGAAGGAGGAAGCACAAACACGTATGGGAGGGTTCAGTAATGCGCCACGCTGCCCGGCGTTTCTCACTTTCCGGGACAGCCCCGCCCTTGCGAGGCAGGAAAGTGACGGCTACCCCGTACGCCCTGCAGCCTGCTACTCCGACGCCGACTGCCCACTCCCCCCTCCCCTTCCCCCCCTTCGAATTCGTCGACCCCGACAAGCTGCCCGACGTTGGGCCTCCGCCCCGCACGCCCCTGCCCCTCCCCGCCCCGCGCACACACCCCGACACGCACATACAAGACAAACCCGGGGTTCTGCTCTCAAAAGAAAAAGAAAAAAGGGAATGAGGAGACCAGCGGGGGAGACTCCCCGCCTATGCAAGCCCCAGAGAGGGGCCGCCATCGCCGAAGCTGTGCCAAAGCATAACTCCAAAACCCGCAGCGGCCCGGGGGGCCTTGGGGGCAGCCTGCCGGACCGCCGCTGCACGGGGCTAGGCACCAGAAGATGAGTGGAATTGATGAATTGGGCCGGTGTCCGTGCCTCCCCTCTATACGTCAGAGTGGGACCTACGCCGCGCCGGGTAAGGGGCGCGCCCGGTCCTCGACGGAGCCGCGCGCCCCGAACGACCCAGGCGGCGAGTAGTCGTCCTCGAACCTTCGACATGTAGTTGCCCATAGTTAGCGCCCGCCCGCCCCCCCTCCCGCTTCGCAAAAGAAAAATAAAAACAAGCAAAAGAGAAAGCGAAGCCAAAAACGATTGCGTAAACGGCGTCACAAAGCCCGCCGGTTTTGATCGACAATCGAATGGCAGACGATGCGTCAGCTTGTGCGGCGCTCGCGCCGCGCAGGCTGGCCCATCGAGGGCACTCTCTGGCGCTGTCCGGGCCAAGCGCGGCGCCGCGCATGCTGCGTGCCACTCGCCGTGGCTTGCGGTGCAGCGCCACTGCAGCCTCGAAAACGTCGCGCACAGCACCAGCATGCTGCCCACCAGGCAGCAGAGTGCTGCACCGGCGTGCAGCGGACGCTGCGGCGCTGCGGCGTCGCCTCCCCGCCCTGTCCACGGAGCAGACGAGCGGCGGCACGGCCTTCCACCAGCTGCAGGAGGTGCGCACTTCTCAAAGGAAGCACAGGATGCTCCCGCAGTTTACGCAGCTTTGTGCAGCGCAGCGCACGGGCCACGCCACACAAAGCCGACCCTCAGTCTGGCCAAGAGGCTGTCTGCGGAAGGCCTGGCAGCGCGTACTCGCCTCCTCCGCGGCCATGCCCTCCGCCCGGGCGAGCGAGGAGCGGGGACACAACCATTTCTGGAATCGTGTGTCCCCGAAGGAAGATTTTTTTTGGGCCTCGCTTTCTCTTTTGCTTGTTTTTATTTCGTTTTTTCTTTTACGAAGCGACGGAGGCGGGGGCGGGCGGGCGCTAACTACGGGCAACTACATGTCGAAGGTTCGAGGTCGACTACTCGCCGCCTGGGTCGTTTGGGGCGCGCGGCTCCGTCGAGGACCGGGCGCGCCCCTTACCCGGCGCGGCGTAGGTCCCACTCTGACGTATAGAGGGGAGGCACGGACAACGGCCCAATTCATCAATTCCACTCATCTTCTGGTGCCTAGCCCCGTGCAGCGGCGGTCCGGCAGGCTGCCCCCAAGGCCCCCTGGGCCGCTGCGGGTTTTGGAGTTATGCTTTGGCACAGCTTCGGCGATGGCGGCCCCTCTCTGGGGCTTGCATAGGCGGGGAGTATCTAGAGTCAGGCTCGGACTGGACACCAACGCAAGTCCGTGTGCACTTGGAGCACTTGGAGTGTGATTTCTTTTTTATCTTCCCGCAAGCTCTTCGGAAGGGCCCAGCCTCCACCCTTCACGTGCCGCCAGTTCCCGTGGACATCGCGCAAAAAGAATTTAGTGTCCGCCGTGCCCAGTATGGTCCCTGGCTCCGCGTCTCTGCTCGTCTGCTGCGGCTGCGAGAGGGGCTGTGGTCGCGGCGGGGAGAGCCGCTGTGCAGCGTGGACGCGCCTACACCGCTCTTGCTCCGCTCGCCACCTCTCGCAAAGGTCCAAAGCCATAGCCACCACCTCCTCCGCCTCGTCCTCTGCCGCCTCCGCCGCAGCGCCCACCCTCGGACTCGGCCCCGCCGCGACGGAGAACCGACTACTCTTCTCGCTGAGCTCCGCGAGAAGCCTGAGCATCCCCTCCTTGTCCAACTGCGGGCTTCTCACTGCCCCGGCGCCCACCCCTCGACCTTCTTGGGCAGCAGCTGGTCCGACAGGTCCTCTCCGTGGCCTAGATAGCCGCGGTCGCCCTTGCCCCAGGTAAAGACGGCGCCGGAATTGGTGGCGATGCTGTGATCGCCTCCTGCCGACACAGCGACGACGCGCTGCCCAGCAAAGGCCTCGACCTTCTTGGGCAGCAGCTGGTTCTGCTCGTCGCCGTGGCCCAGCCGGCCCCCGCCTCCACCGCCCCAGCTCCAGACACTGCTGTCGGCGGTAAGGGCGACGCTGTGCAGACCCCTCCCCGAGACCGCGACGACGCGCCGCTCCGCCAAGACCTCGATCTTCTTCGGCAGCAGCTGCCTCTGGTTGTCGCCGTGGCCCAGCCGGCCCTCACCTCTAAACCCCCAGCTCCAGACACTGCCGTCGGCGGTGAGGGCGAGGCTGTGGTGGGTACCAGCCGAGACAGCGACGACGCGCCGCTCCGCCAAGACCTCGATCTTCTTCGGCAGCAGCTGCTGCTGCGTGTCGCCGTGGCCCAACCGGCCAGAACTTCCACTGCCCCAGCTCCAGAGGCTGCCGTCGGCGGTGAGGGCGAGGCTGTGCGCGAGTCCAGCCGTCGCAGCGACGACGCGCTGGCCAGCGAAGGCCTCGATCTTCTTGGGCAGCAGCTGGTTCTGTGCGTCGCCGTGGCCCAGCTTGCCGCCGGCCGTACCGCCCCAGCTCCAGAGGGCGCCGTCGGTGGTAAGGGCGAGGTTGTGCACACACCCCGCCGACACAGCGACGATGCGCCGCCCAGCCAAGGCCTCGACCTTCTTCGGTAGCAGCTGGGTCTGCTGGTCGCCGTGGCCCAGCTGGCCACAGGCTCCATCGCCCCAGCTCCAGAGAGCGCCATCGGCGGTGATGACGAGGTTGTGCCCGAATCCAGCCGCCACGCTCACGGCGCGCTCGCCTCCCAGAAAAGGAGAAGGGAGTTTAGTCGGCGTGTTGAGCCGCGTCACTCCCTCACCGTGGCCGAGCAGCCCTGGAGCGTAGGACGGCTCTGAGCCGCACGACGAGAGCCGCCCCTCGCCGTCGATGAAGACGCTGTGCTGTTCGCCTGCCGCCGCCCTCGCCGGCGGGTTGGACTCGCGCAGCAGCGCCGAATAGCACAGCCACCGCACGGCGCAGTCCTCGCCCTCTGGCTGCGCCGGCAGCTCGAAGCCGCGCTCTTGCGCCCACAAGCGGATGCCCTCCACCGCAAGCGAGGCGTGGAAGAGAAGCGAGACGGCCGCGACGTGAGCGATGTCAACGGGGACGTCGCAGCGAGAGACGACGCGGACGAGGAGCTCCGTGGGGAGGTCGAGGAGGCGGGCGGGCGGCGGCGTCTCTGGCGAGGGAGCGGCGGCGGGGGCGGGATACACGAGTGGGGTATTCACACTCCCAACACTCCCCCATTGTCTGCGCGGTCTTCAGATGCGGCAGACAACACAGCGGAGTGTGAAGCAAGTAATTGTCACGCTGATCAGAGGCGCGAGCTAGTGAACGTGGCATGTGACCTTCCGTCTCCCGGGCTCAAGCGGAAGGTAGTAGACTATGTGTATCGCGCGCCTTGCGGGGGGGGCGCGGAAAAGAGGAACCTCTTAGCGCCATCGCCACGGTGCTGCATGCAGCGCCGGGCGACGACGGCTTACCGCCTCCCGGTCCCCCTCGGCACACCTCCGCTGCTCAATGTTTGACGGCTCGAACCCGTGAAGCTTCCCCGTGCGCGGGTTACCCCGCACACGGGTCAGCCTGCCAGCCACGTATCCACGCAAGCGTGGTCCGCGTGCATGGCATACAGGCGTCCGCCAGACAGCGCAGAGGCTAGGCGACCGGGGAAGGACTAGCTCAAGGGCAACACAGCGTCACCAGCCGTTGGCGCGCAGAACGAGTCTGCGGCCCCCGGTTGGGACGAGTGCGCGACGCGGACGAACCGCTCAATGTGGCCGGCAGCTCGCGCTGCCGGCGGGGTTGGTTGGGGAGAACCGGCACGGGGATGGCCGGCCTCCCCGGAGGGGTCGCCCCCTGGAGGGGCCCCAAAGGGCCCCCCGGGGGGGCGGGGGCCCCCGCCCCGAGGGGCGGGGGCGGGTCCTTCCGTGTCGCTCCCCTCGTCGGGAGTGTCCGTCGGGATGGTGTTGTCCGCCCACTCGGCAGCGTTTGAGCCTCTGTCACCTTGCCTGCCGCGAGCAGCTAGCTCGTCGACGTAGTCGTTCCATTTGTTGCCGCTGTGACCCGCCACATGCCTCCACGTCACGGTGTGTTTGGCGCGAAGGCGTCGCCAGAGGGAACGAAGGCGCTCCGCTAGCTGTCTGTTCGTTTTGGGGGTCACCCTCCCCATCATGCACGCCGCCGCGTACTCGCTGTCGGTCCGCACTACTCCGCGTGAGCCCGCTCGTTGCGGTGACGAGGACAGGAGAGCCCGGAGGAGCTCGGCTAGGGCGGTTAGTTCCGCCGTGTTGTTGGTATGCCTGCGCGCGCCGAGGTAGGCTGGGTGCGCCGCCGAAGTGACAACTGGCCCGTAGCCCTCGCTCGCCAACGACGCGCCCCTATCGCCGATTGCGACTATCTGAGCGGTCGACTGGATGTCTTCAATTGAACAACATGGGTAGTAGAGCTTGGTCAGCCGCGCGCGGCGATCCGAGCTGAGCGCCGCGGGACGGCGGGATGAGCGGGCGCAGCTCGCGCGGCGGGCGGGGCGATGGGCGCGCCCCTTGGCGCCGCTGGTGCGGCGGGAGGCTCGGCGCGGACGATCGCCTCGGGGACTTGAGGGCGTTCTTGTTCGACGGCGCCGCGGATCTTGAAGGGGCCGCAGAGATCGGACGCGACTCGCTCGCCAAAGTGGGTGTAGACTCGGCGATTGGTCGGCTGACTCGGGTGGCCTTTGCGGCGGCGATTGAGGCGACTTGCAGCGCACTCACAGCGGTCGCTGCCGGGGCGGAAAGTGTAACCTCTGTAGCGCAGTGGCCCGATGATCTTGTTCCTGCCAAAGTGGCCGAGGCGGGCGTGCCACAGGCCGTAGTCGGCATGGTCGGACGGGCGCACAGGGAGCTTGTGGCGCTCCTCGGGACCGATGAGGGTGGTGTCGAGGGCGTCGAAGACGGAGCCGCAAACGGGGTCGCTGGAGGCGTCGTCGGTGTCCGCGGCGAAGGCATCGGATATGACGGGCTCGGGCGAAGTCGTCGTGTAGACGAGGAGGGCTCGTCGGATGCCGCGCCACAGGCGGCGGGCGGCGGGAGCGAAAGCGAAGAGGCGAAAGGCAGAGGAGGGCGGTGAGAGAAGGCGTCCAAGATTCGTGCGAGCAGGCAACTGGACGGGCTCGTGAGCTGGCGGCGGCGGCGGTGGCGGCTCGCAGGAGATGATAGCGAGCCGGTTAAGTGAAGAAGGAGAGATGAAGTTATCAATGAAGATCCGTGCCCACGAAGCCGAGGTGCTCGTGGTGGGTGCCGATGAGGAACAGACCGCAGAGATCATCCCTGGGGTGTCGACGGGCCCCCGGGGGCGACGGGGGTGCTCTCCGGCCGCGGCGGCCGAAAACGGGGACCTCTAACTAGGTCTAACTTTGAAGTGATCCACTTGATCCAAGGGTGCCATTGTGCTCTACTACAAAAGTTGTGTAAGATGCCCAAGTCTCAGACGCTGGATCCTTAGCGGAGCTGAGTTCTGACGGTGTGAACACGAGCAACCGGAGTGACGACCGGGACCGGGCCGTACGCCGGGAGTGCCCCGACTAGCAGTGACGGGCGCGGACGAGCGAATGAGAGGTCGCTATCTGTGGAAGATGTGTTGTTAGGGACTAGGACTGCCTATCTCTCACTGAAAGGGACCTCTCATTCGCTCGTCCGCACCCGTCACCGCTCACGGAGTGCTCCGCGTGCCGCACCGGCCGCCGCCGGCCGCCGGCCGCTCACGGCAACGGAACAGTCTTACTACTCCGCAACGTTGAGCTGGATCAAACTGAATAGTGCTCCTGAAAGCCCTCTCTCTGGGCTCTGCCACACAGTAGCAGCTCATGACGAGCAGCTGTTGTGACTGTATTTGTAGCCATTTTTAGGCTTCAACTGGTCCCAAAATAGTAGCAACACCTCATGAAAATCAGTCAAAAAAGCCCCAAAAAATCGGCGCCTGCGGCGGGCTACCTGGGGCTGCGCCCCAGACCCCCTTGACTGGGGGGACCCCCCGCGAGAGCACCCCCGTCGCCCCCGGGGGCCCGTCGACACCCCAGGAGATCATCCGGATCATGCTGCAGGGCTGCACGGCCGAGGTGCCGAGCAGGCTTCCGGCCGAGGTGCCGAGAAGACTTTGTGCAGGGGCTCTGGCCCTGCCCGCCACCACAACACCCCGCAGGTGTCCATGGTGCTGGCTACCGTATCGAGCGCTAGCCGGGAAGCTGTGCGGTCGCATCGCAGCGACCGCACCAGCACTCACGACGGCCGAGTTGCCGTCGATCTCCTCGCTCCGCAATCTCACCGGAGGTACCATGTAGTGAGCTCAGAGCTGTACACGGAGCGAGGGTCTGTACCGAGGCGTACAGGAGCGATCACACCAAGATCACCATCGTCCTGAAAGGGACAAAGCTATCGTCCTGAAGGACCACGACGAGACGCCGTCCAGGACACATCCCTCTGGAACAAGGCATCTCGACTATCGGACAGTACTCAACAGGGACATCTCTCTATATACACGAGTGGGGTATTCACACTCCCAACAACCCCGAGTGAAACACTGTTGGCGGTCGTCGCTCGCGGCATGGCGCTCCCTCTCCTCGACGCGCCGAGCTCGCGAGACCGCACGCTGCACGCGAGCGGCACCTCCGACGTCTTCACCGCGCCGCTCGGCGGGAGAGGCTTTGAGGACGGAGGAGCCCTCGTGGTGGTCAAGCGGAGCAAGATTACGTGCGCGCGCGACATTGAGCGCTTCGAGCGCGAGGCCAGCCTCCTCGCGAGCCTCGCTCACGAGTGCGTCGTGCGGCCGCTCGGCCTCATCCGCTCGCCGCCGACGTACGCGCTCGTGTTGCCGCTGCACGCCCGCGGCTCGCTCTTTCGCGCGCTGCACAACTCTCGCGCCGGCCTCTCGCTCCGGAGCCGCGCCTCGCTGGTCGCCGACGCGTGCGCCGCCGTCGCCCACCTGCACGAGCGCGGCGTGGTGCACCGCGACGTCAAGCCGGACAACTACCTGCTTCGTGAGGACGGCGCGGTGGCAGCATGCACCACAGCAAGCACGCCGCAGCACACCACACCACAGCACGGCGCACGGCGCAAGGCTCGAGAGCACGGCACGTCACAGGAAGACGACACGCAGAGGGCAAGAGAGCGATCTTCAGACACGCATCCTTCTGACAATCTCCACGCTGACCTCTCGCCGGCTGCACCGCCTTCCATGTACGGAACCTCGCCGGAACCTTCTCGGAACCTTCTCGGAACCTTCCCGCTAGGTGCGGCGGTCCTCACCGACTTCAACGCGGCGGAGCGCTCCGACGCAGTCAGCGGCGCCATCACGATCCACGCGCGTCAAGGAGTCGTTCAGAACGAGCCCTGACTCCTCGCCTCGTCCCGAGCAGGCGCCATCACCCTGCATGCCCGGCCGACAGGCGGATTCTTCAAGCAGTACTGACTCCTCGCCTCGTGCCGAGCAGGCGCCATCACCCTGCATGCCCGGCCGACAGGCGGATTCTTCAAGCAGTACGTCGTCGGCACGCTGCCGTACATGGCGCGAGGGTTCAGTACCGTGGGCGTAGGGGAGGGGACGGCCGAGTAGGCACGCTGCCGTACATGGCGCCGGAGCTCATCACCCGCGGCGGCGCCTCGGGGGCGGCGATCGACTTTGAGGCGATCGCTGTCGCTCACACCGCCGCCGCCGCCGCTGCGCCGCCGCCCGCCGCCCACCGCCGCCCGCCGCCCGCCGCCGCCGCCGCCGCCGCCGCCGCCGCTGCCGCCGCCGCCGCCGCCGCCGCCGCCGCCGCCGCCGCCGCCGCCGCCGCCGCCGCCGCCGCCGCCTCGACTAGGCAGTAGCAGCAGCAGCAACCAGTGAGGCAGCCGACTCCTCTAGGCTTGCGACATGTACTCGCTCGGCATCACCGCCAACGAGGTGCTCGCGCGCGGCGTCCCCTACCCGACGGTTCCGAAACCGACACTACTTTTTGATATTTGGGCCGGGAAAATTTGCTGCTTGACTATGTGGTAAAAAACACTGTTTCGCCTTTACTGTAAAGGGCTTATTTTCC